GAGGTTCCTCAGATTGAGTCCTGCATTGGGGTCCGCACTGGGGGTGGAGCCTGCTTAAGAGTCTCTCTCTCCCTCTCCCTCGGTCCTTCCCTAACCAAGCCCCCTGCGGTATGCTCTCCTTTTATTTTATTTTTTTTTAAAGATTCTATTTATTTATTTGAGGGAGAGTGCGCTCAAGTGAGAGAGAGAGGGAGAGAGAGAAAGAGCTCAAGTGGTGGAAAGGGGCAGAGGGAGAGGAGAAGCAGACTCTCCGCTGAGCAGGGCCCCCCCCCACCACAGGGCTCGGTCCCAGGACTCTGGGATCATGACCTGAGCCGAAGGCAGATGCTTAATCGACTGAACCACCCAGGCACCCCCCCATAAAAGAAAAAGAAAAATGAATTTACACATTTGCATATGTCAGATATAAACCTTCGATAGTAGAAATATTGGGGAGAGTTAGGAGAGAAAAACGAATCAAGGAAATATATGAATTTCAGAATATTTGTGAAAACAAATATTTTATAGTGATTCAACAGTTCCATACATCACTCAGTGCTCATCATGACAAGTGCACTCCTTAATCCCCATCACCTATTTCACCCATTGCCCCTACCCACCTCCTCTCTGGTAACCTTCAGTTTATTCTCTATAGTTAAGAGTCTGAATGGTGTCTTCAAACAACTCACTGCACTTTAACACCGTGAGGGCTGAAAGGGAAAGCTTATTGAGTCACTGACTCATGCACTCATAAACAGTTTGAGTTCTTTTTGTGTATTGAAGGCTTTATTTGGCATGACTTTGGAATTCACAAGAGATACATCTGCGCACTGGTGCTGAGTGACTATGATAATTGAAAAGGAAAAGTTTCCAAACTCTGAAAGAGTTGATCTTATCTAATATGCCTAATCTCAAACGAAAGGGATCTGGAATTCTTCCTGTCTTTATCTGGGGATAAATAGTATTTATTTTATTCCTTGGTCTGTGGTTCTACCTTTAAAATAAGTGGTTTGGATTCCAAAGCATTGGTTTTGAAGTTAAGAATATTTGCATTGCATTTAACTCTAAGAAAGTTCTTTTTTTATAGAAATACTTATTTTAGGGGCACCTGAGTGGCTCAGGTCATGATCCTGGAGTCCCGGGATTGAGCCCCACGTTGGGCTCTGCACTCAGCTGGGAGCTTGTTTCTCCCTCTCCCTTGCCCCCTCTCCACTCATGCTCGCTTGCTGTCTCTTTTACTCTCTCTCAAATAAATAAAATCTTTTAAAAAATTGTTTTATACCCACCAGCAGCATATGAGAGTTCTAATTGTTCCATATCTTCATCAACGTTTGGTACTGTCAGTTTTTAATTTTAGCCATTTTATGTAGTCGTATCTCATTGTGGTTTTAATTTGTGCTTCCCCAAATACTAATGATGTTGAACATCTTTTCACATGCTTAACAGGCTATTTGTGTATCTTCTTTAGTAAAGTGATCGTCCAAATCTTTTGCCAGTTATGTTTTTATTGGGCTGTTTGCCTTTTAAAAATTGAGTTGTAAGAGTTCTTTATATATTCTGGATGCAGATCTTTTATCAGATACATATTTTGCAAGTATTTTCTCCTATTCTGTGGCTTATCCTTTTCTTAACAGTATCATTTGAAGAGCCGTTGTTAGTTTTGATAAAGTCCAGTGTATCAGTTTTTTCTCTGATGTGTTGTGCTTCTTTGTGTCATATTTAGAAGTCATAGCTTAATTTAGAGTCACAAGGTCTCTGTGTTTTCTTCTAGAAATTTTATAGTTGCAGGCTTTACATTAAATTTATGATCTTTTTTTGAGGTAATTTTTGTGTATTAACTTCTGAGATAAGTGTTGTTTTTCTTTTTTTCTTTTTTTGGTACATGGAGATGTTCTAGTACTATTTGTTGGAAAAAGAAAAAACCCCAAAACTATCCTTTCTCCATTAAATTACCTTGGCACTTGTGTTGAAAATCTATTCACGGGGTGCCTGGGTGGCTCAGTTGTTGGGCGGCTGCCTTCGGCTCAGGTTATGATCCCAGGGTCCTGGGATGAAGCCCTTGGCTCCTTGCTCAGCGGAGAGCCTGCTTCTCCCTCTCCCTCTGCCTGCCGCTCTGCCTACTTGTGCTCTCTTTCTGTCTCTCTGTCAAATAAAAAAAAAAAAAATCTATTCATCATATACATATATATGTATGTATGTATCTTTTGGGACTTTATTCTGTTCCATTGTTCAGTATGTCAGTCGTTATGCCAATACCACTCTATCTTCATTAAATATTGCCTTTGGATAAATTATTAAATCCAGTCTATTAATATTTTCTTTTATGGCTTGTGCACTTTTATGCCTATTTAAGAAATCTTCCAAGTTGTGTGCATGGTACATGGATTTACTTATTTAGGTCTTCAAAGATTTACTTTTAATCATCTCTATACATATATCTTCACCTCCTAGGATTATAAGATTACTTACTCAACTAATGGGAGCAAGTGGTAACAGTTGAGATCAAGAATTCAGTTATAGTTTAGAGATTTGAAAGAAGGGCATAGGAACCTGGGTATACCCTCTATGTGGGACCCATCCCTCAGTTTTTCAACTGAGCCCCTTTGTGTAGTAGAGGCACTTATTTTAATGTAATTCACAACTCTTTGCTCTCTGATTAGAGTTGGTAAGTGCCTTCACTCCCTACCTGGATTACAGCTCATCTTCCTTTACTTTCTGCTTGGATTCAGCACCCTCTATATATTTCACTTTGTCTTTTTCTTTTCTTTTTAAATTTATTTTTTTAAGATTTTATTTATTTGAGATAGAGAGAGCACGAGCGGGGTGGGGGGCAAACAGAGAGGGAGAAGCAGGCTTCCCACTGAGCAGGGAGCCCAATGCTGGGCTCGATCCCAGGACCCTGGGACCATGACCTGAGCTGAAGGCAGAGGCTTAACTGACTGAGCCACCCAGGCACCCTCACTTTGTCTTTTTCTTTAGCCACTTGGCTATGGTCTTTAATTGAAAACATCCTCAGTCACAGTGGTATTGAATATTTAATTCATTTGATTATTCCAATCTGACTTTCAGGGCTGATGTCTCAAAAGGGGAGGTAGTGCTTTGTGAATCATCTCTGTATCGGTGGCTTCTGAAGGCATGGGCCCTGCGAGACTGTAGAGGGAAATAAGAGCCCAGAAGGAACCTGAGCAACTCTAGCATTTCATAATCAAGTAGAGGAGGCAGGAGCCTCTTCAGTGTCCACTCATTTTGTATCTTCAGCCTGAAATTCCTCTCTTCTCTGCTCATTGAAATACTCATCTTTAAAGGACCAGTTCAAGTGCCACTTCTTTTGAAAAGGCTTCTTTTATATTCCCAGTTAATTGTGTTTTTGTCTTTGCACAGAGCACCACTTTTACCTCTCTTACTAGAGCTTGTATTTTATTCTTTGTTTGATAATTAGTCTGTTAATAAGTCTCTCTCACTAGATTTCCAAGGTCTTTTGTAGTAGATTGTGTATCTTCTGTCTACATAGCACCAAGCAAAAAGGAATTCTGTAAATATTTGTTAAATAAATGACTATATCACACCTGGAAACAGATGGTGGTGATATAGAAAGGAACAAGAAAGGCTTTAAGAAAGAGGTGGGATTTATGTTTGGTCTTAAAGGATGGATAGGATTTCAAGAAGCAGCAGAAGAATGGGTATCCCATGCATATAGAACAACATGATGAGTTTTGAACTAGGCCACAGCATAGCTGTAGGTGGTAGATGTCAGGTGGCTTTGAAATTGTGAGGGACCTTAAATAGGCCCAGCAGAAGATTTTTTGTTCAATTCAGTAGTCAGTGAAATCACTGAAGCAGGTAGGTGATTTGGGCAGAAAGCAGCTTAGTCCATATCTGACAGGTATTGGGTAGATTGTGGTGGGGAAAGACCCTTGTGGCAAAATGAGTTAGGCGACTATGGTATTAGACCAGGCAGGAGCTAATGAGCATATAAACCAGTTAGTGCCAGGGGAAAGAGAAATGAGAAAGTGCATGTTGGCTACTGATTGAATGTGTGAGTGAAAGAAGAGAACTTCACACATTCAGTCATACCTGGGGTTTTAAATCCCAAGTACCTGGAAGAGTAGTGTGTTGGTAGGAGAAACAAAAATGTCAGAAGGAGCAAATTTTGAGGAGATGATGCTTGAGTTTAAGTCTGTTGAGTCAGAGATGCAGAAGGCATTCTGGGTGGCTTAATGAATGTGTTCGCCATGGGCTTCTTTAAATAACAAATTATCTTCCATTATACACATTATCATGTCCTGACCACAGGCACACAGAGTAATGGGAGATGGATATCCAATTGCCATATTAAATATTTCTGTGTACATACCTCTTCTATAGCAGTCATATTGTGTTTTTTATTCATAGGCCTGTTTCTGACTGGATGGAGCTGTTGGAGGGCAAGGACAGTGTATTATTTATCTTTGTTGTAGATTGCCTGGCATATTGAGGACATGCAGGAAAAGTTTGAATTAATGAATGAATTAATGGCTCACAATACACAGGTCTTTGAACAAGTAATTGTCTTGTTAGAAGACTTGACTCTTGCAGTTCTTACAAGTTTTACTAACACAGTCATGATTCTTCCATCTCTCCATAATATGGGCTCAAGTGGGTTTTTGGGATAGGCCTCAGATTGAATCACAACTCTACCAATTTACCATCTGCTCTTTTTAATTCATTTAACCATAAAATTCACCCTTTTAAAGTGTTATAATTCAATTGTTTTTAGTGTATTCACAAGGTTGTATAACTATCACCACTATTTAATTCCAGAATATTTTCATCACCCCAAAAAAGAGACCCCTTACCCACACCCATTAGTAGTCGCTCCCCTAGTCCCTCTTTCTCCAGCCCCTGCCAACTACTAATCTACTGAACTTATTTTTATTAAAGGGAAATAAATTAAAATCATCTAAATCTATAACTGATTTCTAATAATAATGCCCTTCAGAAATATGCTAAAAGGAGGCATTAATTGATCTTTCTCCTTGTAGGAAAGAGTACCAGAAAAGAATACCATGGGGCGAACAGTGAACGAAGGTAAGATTTACTTCCTAAACGTGATGATTTTTTTTTTTTATTTTTTATTTTTTAAGATATTTGTTTATTTGAGAGAGAGAGAGTGAGAGAGAGAGCATGAGAGGAGAGAGGGCCAGAGGGAGAAGCAGACTCCCCACTGAGCGGGGAGCCTGATGTGGGACTCGATCCTGGGACTCCAGGATCATGACCTGAGCCGAAGGCAGTCGCTCAACCAACTGAGCCACCCAGGCGCCCGCCGTGATGATATTTTTAGTTATTCATTTGGGATGAGTACCTTCTAGTAGACTGAACTTTTGAAAAAAAGTCCTTTTAGAAATAAAGTCATAGGAGATGTTAGGTACTTAGAATTGGAATTTCAGAACTGAATAGCTATTAAAGATAATTATGTTTTTCCTTACTAGTTTTTTTTTTTAAAGATTTTATTTATTCATTTGACAGAGAGACAGAGAGAAAGAGAGAGAACAGCAGGAGGAACAGCAGAGGGAGAGGGAGAAGCAGGCCCCCCGCTGAGCAGGGAGCCCGATGATGCGGGTCTCCATCCCAGGACCCTGGGATCATGACCTGAGCCAAAGGCAGACACTTAACCGACTGAGCCACCCAGGCACCCTTTCTTCCTAGTTTTGTAAGTGAGAAAACTGACACTCAGGGAGTTTAAGTGAACAGGTCATACAACAACCTGTGACAAAGTTAAAATCAGAATCCAAATCTTCTAACTCTAATATGATTGGTTAAAAAATGCTTCATCCTGGGGTGCCTGAGTGGCTTAGTTGGCTAAGCGACTGAGTCTTGATTTTGGCTCAGGTCATGATCTCAGGGTCATTAGATCAAGCTCCATGTTGGGTTCCGTGCTGGGCATGGAACATGCTTAAGATTCTCTCTCTCCCTTTGCGCATCCCCATAAACAAACAAGCGAACAAACAAATAAGCTTCATCTTGTCTTGCTTTAGTGAGAAGCCTGCTTACCTTGCCTTGAATATGCCACTCATTTGCACTCTCTCTTTTGAATGTATAGTTGACCTTTGAACAAGATGGGTTTGAATTGCATGGGTCCACTTATATGTGGATTTTTTTCTTAAAAATATATTGGGAAATTTTTTGGAGATTTGTGACAATTTGAAAAAACTCTCAAGTGAACCATTTCTGGATTATTAGTACTTAAGATTTTGGGGAGTCAAAAGTTATTTGTGGATTTTCGACTGAAGGTGATGGGTACCCCTAACTTCCATGTTACTCAGGTCAGGGGTCAACTGTATTTTTTTTTCTATAGTACATCCTACACACCTTTGCCATCCTAAATCATGTTCTTCCTTCAAATCCAGTTCAAGTCCTGTGTCTCTTAGGAGCTTTTCTGTGGCTGACTGCTGAATGTTGTCCTCTGCTGTTCCCAGTTTTGTCAAGTGTTTAGTGTAGTCTCTGTAACTAGAGTCTCAGCTTCTCTAGAGCAGGAGCCATGCCTTTACAGTTTTACTTTCTTTCCTATTAGAAAATCTTACTGTAGAACTATTTAATAAATATGTATGTACTTTCTTTGTACTAGTCAAATCATTTAAATAGAAAGTAGTTTATATATCCATCTCAAATGTTCACACATCTTGAAGAGGCACTGAGTCATAACCAGAAAGTAGATGTTACCTTAAATTGTTACCTTAAAATGATACCTGGTATCATTCATAGATCCTTCTTCAAGAAGTTTGACAATTTGGGTATCAATAAGAGTAAAACAGTGCTAGATTGGCAACACATTAAGTATGGTTAAATTCATGAGTTCATAGGGGCGCCTGGGTGGCTCAGTTGGTTAAGCGACTGCCTTCGGCTCAGGTCATGATCCCAGGGTCCTGGGATCGAGCCCCGCATCAGGCTCCCTGCTCGGCGGGAAGCCTGCTTCTCCCTCTCCCACTCCCCCTGCTTGTGTTCCCTCTCTCTCTGTCTCTCTCTCTCTCTGTCAATTAAATAAATAAAATCTTTAAAAAAAAATTCATGAGTTCATAATGGGACAGCAGAACAAAACTTACTGGTTATCTGGAGAATGCTTGGGATCCAGCTCATTATTTTGAAAATTAGAAAGTAAAAGTAAAAAAAAAAAAAAAGTAAAGGAAAAGAATGAAGTGTTGGCTTGTGACTTTCCTATGTGATTTGTACCTCAGGTAATTGAATGATTGAAGAGGGGAGGTTTCTATACAAGTTTTCTGGCTAATAAAGACAGGATGATAAAGTTAGAATACCTCTATTTTGTAACCACTAATGGACTAATGGATCTAAGCAATAGCCATCTGTGGCTGTTCATATCACAAAAAGAGAAAGAACTAGATATTAGGAGCCTCTTGTGAGAAGTACACAACACCACCTGTGAAGTCACCTTCTTCTCTCCTCCCCTCAAAAAAGCCAAACCTGAATCTGATTAAGCTCAACACACTAATATCTTTTATTTATTTATTTATTTAAGATTTTATTTATTTATTTGTCAGAGAGATAGAGAGCACAAGCAGGGGGAGTGGCAGGCAGAGGGAGAGGGAGAAGCAGGCTCTCCACTGAGCAAGAAGCCTGATGTGGGGCTCGATCCCAGGAGCCTGGGATCATGACCTGAGCCACCCAGGTGCCCCACTAATAGCTTATATTTAGAGAAAAGATAAGGACCAGAAGAACCCAGCACCATAGGAGCTAGTCAGCACAATCCAGACTAAAACTAAACTGGTATCATGAGCAAAAAAAAATTCCAGAGGAAGGGGGGAAAAAAAAAGAGGAGGAGGAGAAGCCTATAAGTATCAAAAGAGACTTAAGACACTTATTATCCATTGCTATATATGGACTTTATTTGGGTCCTGATTCACACACTTAAAATAAGACATTTGGGGAAATATGAACACTGACTGCTTATTTGATGTTATTAAGGAATTATGGTTAATTTTTTTCAGCATAATAACAGTATTATAATTAATTTTAAAAAATGAGTCCTTTAAGATATGTATATATATATATGGGCAAAATAATGTCTTAGATTTGTAAAGTCACAAGGTCTGGTGCTATTGGAGCTCCTCAGCTTGGCACAGAGAAAAATCTCTGCCTATTACATTGTCTATTGAATTACATGTATTCCAATTTCCCTCTTACGTTTTAAACTCTTAAAAGCATGCAGTTTATTTCTAGGGTACGTTAATTCTTTTTTTTTTTATTTTATAGAGGGGGAGAGAAGGGGTAAGCTCCCTTTTGGAGCTTACATTTGAGTGGAATGAGACATACAATAGACAAAATAAATGAGCAAATTGTAAGATATGCAGTATGTTAGAAAGTGAAATCCTATGCAGAAAATAAGGATATTAATTATAAAATTAAAACTGGGTCCTATTAGAAAATAGTTTTAGTTTATAGGTTTTCTTTTTTTTTAAGATTAATTTATTTATTTTAGAGAGAAAAAGAGAGTGAGCGTGAGTGGGGGGAGGGACAGAGGGAGAGAATCTCAAGCAGACTCTCTGCTGAGCATGGAGCCTGATGCAGGGCTCAAATCCATGACCCATGAGCCAAACCGAGGGTCAGACAATCACCTGACTGAGTCACCCAGGCACCCTAGTTTATAGGTTTTCTAAGAGCTCTTTTAGACTTTTGCTATGGCCTTCCAGTGTTGATATTTTCTTTCATTTTTTAGATTCAATGGATGCCAAGAAGGAGAATCAAGAGAAAGCTCCTCACTCAGGTACATCTTCTGTACAAAATGGTAGGTTTTAAAGTAGTTCAGTACAATATATTTTTCTCTTCACTCAGTGTTGGTATGAACTCATTGCTTTTGGTATAGTCTATGTATAGTAAACTCCTGTAAATATAAAACCTGAGCAATAGGAAAGGTAAAAGATTTTATTTTGAAAATTTTACTTTGGTTTTATTTTAGAGATAAATTGGTATGGGATTAAAGTAGAAAAAATCATGCATTTCAATGCAATTTTTGCCAAATTAAAGATACTTAGTTAATAATTACCATTTATTACCAATTAAAAACGATAATTTGATTAATAAAAACTCTTCTAATATTAGAGTCAATGTGAAAATCCATTTTTTGTTGGTCAAAAGATAGTTCATTGGATAAAAGCTTAGGCATTGGGAGGTCTGACAGACCTTTTCTAGAATCCTGGCCTCATTCTTTTTACCGGCTTTTTGACCTTGGGCAAATTACTCAATATTCTTAGTCTCTTTTTTCTTCTCTGTAGCACAAGGATGATACTACTTACTTCATGGGACTGTTGGAATTAAATAAAGAAAATGAATGTAAAGCATCTAATATAATGCCTAGGCATACAGTAAATGTTCAGTAAATGTTTATTAACCTTGAGTTATTAATTCATGTTTTAAGTTCCTTATTGTGGACAGCAAGTGTATAGCACTGTATCAGAGACTCAGGAGATAGCATCTGTACCTGCTTTTAAGGAAAACAAAAAAATTAGTCATATGCACACAAAAAGCTGAATAAAAAAATAACTATAACAAACTTACTGTGTTTATCAGAGTTTTCCAGGCAAACCTTTTGCCCCTTGTTTCTTTGTTGTACCTGTCCTGCCAGCCCCACTCTTGGGGTAGTTCACCTATGACTTTCTGTTCCTACAGGAAGATTGCCTATAGCGGTAATCCGCATGGAATCATTCTTCTTCCTCACTGTGGCTCGGCCTCCAGTGCTTCCTTAGCTCCCTTTTCCGTTGGCCTTATTTGTTCTTCAGCAATTCCCTCCAACCCCCAAAACCCTCCAAGGAAAGGGAGGCCATTAGGTTAAAATGTTCTTCCTCATCCCTACAAATTCGTCTCTGTTTTATTTTTTTAATATAACCATTTTATTGAGATATAATTCACATACCATAGAATTTACCCATTTAAAGTATACAATTCTTTGGTTCTTGGTATATTTACAGACTTGTGTAGCTATCACCACAATCAGTTTTAGAACATTTTATCATCCTAAAAAGAAATCCTGTATCCAGTTAGTAGTCACTCCCTGTTTTTCTCCAATGCCTCTTCCTTCCCTCAGCTCTAGGCAGCCACTTATCTACTTTCTGTCTCTATAGATTTGCTATTCTGGACATTTCATAAAAACAAATTTAAAAAATATATTCTTAAAGACTGAAACTAGTAACTTTTCAAAATTCTCAAACTTGATGGAAAAAATGAGATTACCTAATCAAATTTTACAGACATCTGCGGATATTTCTCAGGGCCCTGACCCTAACATCTCATCTTAGAAATCAGTGACCGTTAGAAGGTGAGCTCCAAGAGAGCCAGGACTTTTTTCTGTTCTATTAACTGCTGTGTCCACAGTACCTAGGACAGTGCCTGGCACACACTGGCAACCTTCTATGGAAAACCAGTGATGAATAAGACAAACATGATTCCTGCCCTCTTTGAGCTTAGGGGGCAAGATTGACATTAAACAAATCCCCAGTTATAGTTGTGATAATTGCTATGAAGTAGTAGGTGCTGATCATTCAGCTGAGAAGCTTCCAACTCTAGATATTTTGCCCATCTTCTTTACAGAGCCTCTGAACCCAAGCCTAGCACTGCTGGGAGACATTAGGATTCTGATTTACTCTGGAGAAGACCAAGGTGGCTCATATAGATTATGTTCAGTTTGTCAAAAGGTGTTTGGGCTAATGTATGGACTAGAATAGAGTACAAGGCAAACAAGAAGGACCACGGACATGTGCAAATAACAGTCAGATCACATGGTTATATGTGTACAACTGTCTCATGAACAAACCTGTCAGTTGCCAGACCTCTTTTCTGAGGGAGAATAACATTCCCCTGCTCCAGGTTGTCCATGAGGATAAGATGCATAGGCAGACTGGGTCCTCAGGTTTGGGTAAGACTTTCTGACTATTTTGGCTCCTGCTCAGGAATTCCAGCTGTGGTATTATTGAAGATATGTCAAATCTAAATCTAAGTAAAGCCTGTTGCTGTGTATGTTTCTCTATGTTATTGGTAGGGTGTCAGCACGTGGGCAGCCAAACTGAACAGCTTTGGGGACTGAAAATATTGCCTTAAGAATAAAGAAAAAAGTTAAGGCTCCAATGATTAAATGCTAAATAGGGTCATTAGCTAGCAATGTGATAGAAAATGGTCATATTGCAGAATACTGGTATAAAGGATTTGCTAGCTCAAATTATAGCCCATTCAGACGCAAGTGGTGATAAAATATTTAAAAAATTGTGTTAAGTGAATTTTTTTCTAGTGTCATTGAAAAATTTTACAAATGTAGCTGGTTTATTTGAGGTATTATTGTGAAATGATTTTAGTTTCCCTGTCATTATCTTCAACTTACACTTCTTTCTTCCTGGGATGTTGGCTCCTTAATGATACCATAGTCAGATTTTCCCCTCCACTCGTGTTTTGTTCTTTTTATTTTTTTTAAGATTTGTTTATTAGAGAGAGAGAGAAAGAGACATGAGCAGGGGGAGGGACGGAGGGAGAGGGAGAGAGAGAATCCTTCAGCAGACTCCCCACTAAGTGTGGAGCCCAATGTGGGGCTTGATCCCACAACTCCGATCATGACCTGAGCTGAAATCCAGAGTCAGATGCTTAACTGAGCCATCCAGGCACCCCTGGTTTAAAAAAATATTTAGACATTTTATTTGAGAGACAGAGAGAGCAAGTGGGGGTAGGGGCAGAGGGAGAGGGAGAGAATCCCAAACAGACTCCATGCTGGGCATGGAGTCCAACACAGGGCTTGATCCCATGACCCTGAGATCATGACCTGAGCCAAAACCAAGAGTCGGATGCTTAACCAACTGAGCCGCCCAGGTACCCCTGTTTTCTTCTTTTTTTAATGCTCTCCAAGGTCATATGATGGTAGAGCTTCAGTTAGAATCTTGGGTTTCCTGATTGTCAGGTTGGTCTTAGGAGGTCACTAAAATATCCTGGTCAGTTAATTTTGGAACCATGGATCTCCATTTTCACTTTTATTTATTTTTTTTAAAAGATTTTATTTATTTATTTGAGAGATAGTGAGAGCTAGAGAGAGAGAGAGCATACACAGAGGGAGAGGGAGAGAGAAGCAGACTCCCTGCTGAGCAGGGAGCCTGATGTGGGGCTCTATCCCAGGACCCTGAGATCATGTCCTGAGCCGAAGGCAGATGCTTAACCAAATGAGCCACCCAGGCACGGCCCCCCAAAATATATATCTAAAAATTTTTTATTTTAAGTAAGCTTCATGCCCGTTGTGGGGCTTGAACTCATGACCCTGAGATCAAGAGTCCCACACTCTATGGACTGAGCCAGCCAGGTGCCCCTCGGTTTTCACTTTTTTTTTTTTTTAAGATTTTATTTATTTATTTGACAGAGAGAGATAGAGAGGGAGAGAGCATGAGCCAGGGGGAGAGGCAGAGGGAGAGGGAGAAGCAGATTCCTCACTGATCAGGGAGCCCAATGTGGGGCTTGATCCTAGAACCCTGAGATCATGACCTGAGCTGAAGGCAGACGTTTAACCGACTAAGCCACCCAGGCACCCCAGTTTTCACTTTTTTTTTAAAGATTTTATTTATTTATTTGACAGAGAGAGACACAATGAGAGAGGGAACACAAGCAGGGGGAGTGGGAGAGGGAGAAGCAGGCTTCCCACGGAGCAGGGAGCCTGATGCGGGGCTCGATCCCAGGACCGTGGGATCATGACCTGAGCTCAAGGAAGATGGTTAACGACTGAGCCACCGAGGTGCCCCCCAGTTTTCACTTTTGACAAAGCTATCCAGTATTAATAAATTGAGGTACAACTATGACTTTTAGTTTTAGAATAATAATGCATGGCTTTTATTGAGTGACATATGTATGCTTCAACACTTAATTCTCAAAATACCTTGTACCGTATGTATTACTTTTCCTCATTTGGTAGGAACTGAGGCTGAGAAACTGAAATGACTTGCTTAGGTCACATAGCTTGTAAGAAGCAGAGCCAGACTGGAAGAAGGCAGGTTTGACCTCAGAGCCCATATTCTTGACATTCTCCTGCATGCCATTAAGCACTGTGGTAGTGCTAGCTTCATATCTACAAGGAGAATTAAACCCAGTATTTTTTTTTTAATGGAATAATCTCTCAGATTTATCGTTAAAAAAAGCAGGGTGCAGGGCGCCTGGGTGGCTCAGTTGGTTGGGCGACTGCCTTCGGCTCAGGTCATGATCCTGGAGTCCCGGGATCGAGTCCCGCATCGGGCTTCCTGCTCAGCGGGGAGTCTGCTTCTCCCTCTGACCCTCTTCCCTCTCGTGCTTTCTATCTCTCATTCTCTCTCTGAAATAAATAAATAAAATCTTTAAAAAAAAAAAGCAGGGTGCACAGTGTTATGTAAGACATGCTTAATACCATATGTAATATGTGTACATACACATATAAATGCATAAACACACATAACAGTGGTACGTTGAAGCTGGCTCACACCAGCTTGGGAGAGCCACTTGTGCACATCTCTTCCCAGCTTTGTAGTTGGTGACTTCACCCTGTCACCTTGTGATCAGCCATGGTGGTAGTATTTATACCATAGAAATCTGCAAACACTATCAGTCAGGCTTTTTATTTGTATATTCTGGAAAGGTGGTTGTTAAACATTTAACAGCGCTCCATTTGTGTGTATGTGTATGTGTGTATAAGTATTCTACCCTTGGAAGGATGTATAAGAGGCTGGTAATTCGGATTCCCCCAGGAAGGGAATCTGTCAAACCCAGTATTTTTATAGTGAGGAAATTAAACAAGAGCATAGATGGTTGAAGAGAATTAAACTTTGTATGAATTATGGGGTGCCTGGGTGGCTCAGTTGGTTATGATCTTGGGGTCTTGGGATTGAGCCCCATGTGGGCTCCCCACTCAGCCGGGAGTCTGCTTCTCTCTCCCCTCTGCCTCTCCTTGCACACACGCCCGCACATGCTTGTGCGCTCTCTCTCTCTCTCTCTCTCTCTCTGTCTGTCTAAAATAAATAAATAAATCTTTAAAAAAACAAAAAAGCTTTGTATGAATTAATAGTACCTTTGATACTGCTATCAAGTCATTTTCTCAGTGCCTTGGCAGTCTGACTGGGACACTGAATTGAAGGGTGCAAGCCAGGCAAAGTACACTGCTTTATGACCTTCAATACCATTGTAATATATCATGAAGACTGAGTGAGAGAAGGAACAGCAAGCATTTGTAGAAAATATAGATCATTAAAATAATTCATATCATGACTGTACTGATGACTGCTTTACTGCTTTGTTCTGCCACCATATTCTTGATACCATGTATGGAGATCTAATAGTCAATTGAGAAGCAACTCTGGTTCTCAGATTTTTTTCTTTCCATAAAGCATTACAGAGGTAAGATTCTGTTAGACCACATACCTAAACACCTTTAGTTCTCCATGAAAAAAAGAAGTGGCATCACATTAATGGGATGAAATGGTCTTGAGTATACACGTCTTTTTTTTTTTAAGCTTTTATTTATTTATTTGACAGAGAGACACAGCGAGAGAGGGAACACAAACAGGGGGAGTGGGAGAGGGAGAAGAAGGCTTCCCACTGAGCAGGGAGCCCAATGTGGGACTCAATCCCAGGACCCTGGGATCATGATCTGAGCCGAAGGCAGAGGCTTAACAACTGAAACAGGCACCCCGAGTATACACATGTCTTGAATAAATTTATATTAGAGACAGATGAGTAGAATTTGCTATTACTCTATAAAAAAAATCCTTTAGTTGTTCTTAGAGTCTACATTTTTAGAATCATTGTGCTAATTCCTCATTACATGGAGAAGATCTGGAGTGTAATTATATCAGAGCCATTATTATCAGAAAGTTGTCTTTTTATTTCTATGCTGGTAATCAAATGCAGATCAGGAAATTTAGGAAGTCCTTTTTAAACGAGATATGGAACTAAAGTCCCATTTTACTCCTAAAAGTTAGTGTGTGTGAAAAACCCCCTATTTTGTGTATATATATATTTTTTTTCAGATGATTTCCACTGGGAAAATTACTTGAAAGAGACTGGATCTTTGAGTGCCCCTTCAGAGTGTTTCAGACAGGTATGCCAAAATTGTATACATGTTGTATATATTAATGTGAACTGTTAATTTGTTGAGGGATATCTGTGTGATTGTTAGGTTCTAGCAGTGTGAGGAGATAATGGGATTGTGGTAATGCCACTTAAGGGCCAGATGGTTTATTTGCGTTCATTCATTAAGAATTTACTCTGTGTCAGGTATACTAAGCCCTTATGATTGTCCATCTGGAGGGAAAGACAGACATGTAAATAATTAATTATGAAAAGTATGATAACTCTATACTGGGAGTGCTCACAGAAGAGGTGATATCTGAGATGGTTGGAATGAGGGGAAGGATATTCCAGGCAGAGAACATCCAAAGCAAAGGCACATGGATGTAGAAGAACCTGAATATTGAGGTATAGCATGGAGTGGCTGGAGGTCAAAGTAGGTAGAGGTGATAGTGTGAGAATAAGGTTAAAGGTGTGGGGGCTCTTAAACTGTATTGAGGACTTGGACTTAGGCAGTGGTGAGCTGCCAGTTGGTTTATTTCAAGGGGAATGGCCTAATCAGACTCTTACTTTAGAAAGCCACTGAGGGTACATTTTATAGGCTGTATTTGGGTTGCCTGGAAGTGGACAAAGGAATAAGATCAGCAATGGGCAGTGTTTTTACGCTGCATGTCAAGCCAAGGAAAGGGTTTGGAGAAGATCTTTTCCTTGACCCTTATAGTTCTTTTGCTCACCATCTGCTATGACTGTTACTTAAAACATTTCACAGGTATTCTGGTAACATAATTGACCATTTGTTTTTCTTACAGTTGATGCATTTTAACAAAACTTTATTTGCGTGTGTGTGTGTGTGTGTGTGTATGTGTGTGTGCTGTGCACACACATATGTAACATATATAGTCCAAGGTTCCACCAGCTAATGACTTCAAAGTTGGTATGAAATTGGAAGCCCATGACCCTCGCAATATGACTTCAGTATGTATAGCCACGGTCATTGGAATTACTGGTGCCAGGCTACGTTTAAGACTGGATGGTAGTGACAACAGAAATGATTTTTGGAGACTTGTCGATTCTCCAGACATACAGCCTATTGGGACATGTGAAAAGGAAGGGGACTTACTTCAGCCTCCACTGGGTAAGGATAAACAATTTTTAAAGTAACATATTCTTTCTAACGTAATATTCAGGAGAAAAAGTTTCAAGTGGCCTTTTATTTATTTTTAACATTTTATTTTACTTTTTTAAAGGTTTTATTTTTTATTTGAGAGAGAAAGTGTGTGTGAGCAGGGGGAGGGGCAGAGGGGGAGGGAGCTCTGCACTGAGCATCAAGCCCCATGTGGGGCTTGATCTCATGACCCAAGATCAGGACGGAGCCAAAATCAAGAGTCAGCTGCTTAACCAGCTGAGCCACCCAGGCACCCCAGATTTGATTTTTAAGTAATCTTTACACCCAATGTGGGGCTTGAACTCACAACCCCAGGATCAAGTCGCATGCTCTACCGACCAAGCCAGCCAGATGCCCCTGAAGTAGCCTTTTAGAAATCTCTTCTAGGCATCTTTGCAAATAGATGGTTATTGTGGAGAATGTATGAGAGATCAACTCAGTACCATATGTTACAGAGTTTCATGTCAGTACACATGTGGCATATGTGTGCTGAAGGTTCTCCACTCCAGGGCAAGACATATGCTGTCTTCAAACTTGAAATGTCAGAAGCAGCTCTACTAGGTCACACATGCAGATTCAGAAACCCTTCTGGAGGAGAAGTTTGTAGCATTTGTTACTGAGTCACTTCCTCCCTCATTATTGTCTGTTGAGCCATTCAGCATTTTTGGCATGGCGGGGAGCCCAGGTGAAGGGTATGATTCCACGTCCAGACCCCAGTTTCAAACTTGGAAGTTTCATTATAACTACAATGAGAAGAAATCATAGTGAGGGGGTAGGGGTCCGTACCTTTAGATCTTTGAAAAGGAGATTGATGGAACTTTATGAGCAAAGGTTTTTAAGTACAAAACTCTCAATTTTGACCAAGTTTTTGAAAGCTAAGAAGTATGTGACTCCAGTTTTGGGCAGAATTGTTCTCTCTTAATATTTATTTTTAAAAGATTTATTTATTTATTTTAAAGAGAGAAAGACCGTGTGTGCACAAGGCAGGGAGGGGTAGAGAGAGAGGGAGAGAGAAACTTTAGAGAGTCAGCATTCAGTGCAGAGCCCGACACAGAACTCGATCCCACGACCCCAAGACCATGACCCGGGAGGAAACCAAAAATCCAACTGTGCCACCCAGGCATCCCTGTCCTCTCTCTCTTTCTTTTTTTTTTAAAGATTTTATTTATTTATTTGCCAGAGAGAGAGTACAAGCAGGGGAAGTGGCAGGCAGCGGGAGAAGCAGGCTCCCCGCTAAGCAAGGAGCCCGATGTGGGCCTCGATCCCAGGACCCTGAGATCATGACCTGAGCCGAAGGCAGACGCTTAACCATCTGAGCCACCCAGGTGCCCCATCCCTGTTCTCTCTTAATATTCAGATGTACTCCAGGGGTGCCTGGGTGGCACAGTTAGTTAAGCATACAACTGCTGGTTTCAGCTCCGGTCATGATCTCAGGGTCATGAGATCGAGCCCTACATTGGGCTCTGTTCTCAGCGCAGTCAGCTTGAGACTCTTTCTCCCTCTCCCTCTGCCCCTCCCTCCTGTGCTCACGTGCACTCCCCCGCCCAAATAAATAAATCTTTAAAAAAACCAAAACCCCTGGGGGCACCTGGATGGCTCAGTCAGTTAGGCGTCTGCCTTTGACTCAGGTCATGATGTGGGCTGGGGTGGGGTGGGGGTGGTTCTGGAATCGAGCCCTGCATCAGGTTCCCTGCCCTTCTCCCTCTGCCTGTTCCTCCCTCTCCCTCAGCTTACTGCTCCCCCTGCTTGTGCTCTCTCTCTTTGTCAAATAAATAAATAAAATCTTTAAAAAAAAAAAAAAAAGCCTGGCCCCCCCAAAATGTTTTTAGATGTACTCTGTTACTCTGTAGAAAATAAGTGATTTCCTTTATTACTTACACAGTCTTTTTTTTTTTTTTAAAGATTTTATTTATTTGAGAGAGAGCATGAGGGCGGGGGGAGGGGCAGAGGGAGAAGCGGACTCTCGGCTGAGCAGGGAGCCCGACGTGATGCGGGGCTTGATCCTGGGACTCTGGGATCGTGACCTGAGCTGAAGGCAGCCGCTTAACCCGCTGAGCCAGCCGGGCGCCCTATCACTTCTATAGTCTTGAGTGATGGTAGATATTAGTTTTTGTTTCTTCTTTACAATGCTGAAAATGAAAATTCTCTAGTGTAAAGCACAATGAGAGAATGGATTTCTTTTTGTTTCCTACTATAGTTAGAAATTTCCTCAGAACCCAAAATTTAAGATACAATAATTACCACTCTCTTAGCAATATATTTTTATACCTTTCTTGCTCTGATCATTAATTATTCCTAATTTGGTTTAAAATATTAAAAAATAACTAATTAGAGACGTGTTATTCCAAGAAGGTGGTTTAGGGTGTGTGTCTTTTCTGCCTTTTGCCTTCTTTTCTTTCTTCATATCGTTTGTTTTAAATATCTCTTATATCCTACAGAATTCTGTAAGAGATAGAAGTGTAAACCTAAGGCATAGTGCTTCCCTCTTTGGATTTGATTTCTGTTTACAAATGGTAATAGGTTTTTGGAATTTTGTTTAAAGGAAGCATTAACTGCTGTGATTGCCAACATTTCAAACACATAGCCAGATTTGCGATCATTCTTTTTTCAAATGACTTTTAGAGTTTTCTAATTAAAAATATGAAATACATAGCAGTACATGCTGATTAATATATATTTTGATAGTACATATTAAAAATAGACAATTTCTGCCAATTTGCTCATTCGGTGCTTTGAATAGTTTGGTTTCCATTTTATAACACAACTTACTTGGTTTTCTTTTTTAGAAGGTTATTTAAACCTTAAAGGTTATTATTTAAAAGCTTTTTTAAAGTTTTAGCATGCAAACAGAAAAGTATACAGTTTGTAAGTGTACAGCTTATAAATGAACACATCCATATAACCATCACCCAAATCAAGAAACAGAATATTATCAGCACCCCAGAAGCCCCACTCCTGCTGATCCTGTCATAAACCTCCCATTCCCAAAGGTTCCACTGTCTAGACTTCCTAACATTGTACATTAGTTTTACCTGTGTTTGAGTTTTTATATGCACTTTCATCTATTTTTGGCCTTTTAATCGATGTTTGACTTTAGGCAATTAAAGAATTTTTTTTTAAAGATTTTATTTATTTATTTGACAGATAGTGAGAGAGCACAAGCAGGGGAAGCAGCAGGCAGAGGGAGAGGGGGAAGCAGACTCCTTGCTGAACAGAGAGCCCAATGTGGGGCTCGATCCCAGGACCCTGGGATCATGACCTGAGCTGAAGGCAGCCGCTTAACTGACTGAGCCACCTAGGTGCCCCTAGGCAATTAAAGAAATAAGAAAAATGTCAAATTAAGATGATGATGATGGCAATGATGATGATTACATGATGTAATAGGATAAGATGGGGGTTAAGAGAAAGGCATAAGGACCAGAGAATTGTTTTTATGCAATATTCTAACCACAACGTGGCAGATCCATTTTGTGGATGATTATTTATTAGATATCACTAATAATACTGATTTATTATAAGGGAGTATATAATAAATCCTCTTTTCCCCCAATTTTCCCCCCCTCAGATTAAGGGGATTTTGGTATAGGATAATTATAGGATGACTTTCTGTCTAAACTTTTTTGCATGGTTAATCCTACTGATGGACCTATTGCCAGTGATTGCCAGTGATTGGTGTGCCTCCCTATCTTAATGCATGTATCCATCAGGAATGCTGGCAAGTTCTCTTTAATTCTGGCATCAGGGCAGGCAAGTGTTGCATGAAACGGATTGCAATAAGGCAGTACAACTAGCAGACCTCTACCCCCTGTTGCATGTGCCAGATGCTGTGATATTCACTATTAATTGATGAGATCTCTAAAGACACCTGTTGAGTGTATTTTGATTTCATCTGATACAAATTCTAAGAGAGGATCTTGTTTAGTGTGTGTAAAGATTGCTAAAGTGAGAGCTATCTTTTTTCCTAACATTGTATGAAAAATTTCAAACATAAAGAAAAGGTGAAAATACTTTACAGTGAATACCCACATACCCATCACCTAGGTTCTACCACTGTCATTTTACATGCTTGCTTTATCTCTTGTCTATCAGCCTTTCTATCGATTCATCAATCCATCTTATTTTTAAATGTATTTCAGAGGAAGTTTTTGATGTTAGTACATTTCCCCTAAATACTTTAGCATGCATATCATTAACTAGAGTTCAGTGTTTATAGTTTTTTTAAAATTTTGAGGTGAAATTTATATACAGTGAAATGCATCATAAGTGTACGTTTGCTGAGTTTCACAAGAAACTGTCTTTCTGAAAGGAAATAAAGCAGGGACTCTAAGGAAAAAGAAGGGCTGGAAGTCTTTTGCAGCCTTTGCCATGCTTGTGTGGCTGTTGGTGGGGACTGGAAGCTCTTGTGGGTTTTGACTTGGATCACCCCTAGTATTATGGCCCATTCCTAACGTACATATATGTATGTTGGTGACCTTTAGCTAGTGGCTTCTCTAAAACGAGAGTTTCTACCCCTACTGTAGCATTGCTGCCAAGTAGTACAGTGGGTACAGTAGAACTGATTGGAGGGTGCATCTGCTTCTCTTAGCTATGTCCTTAGTTTCTCAATAAGAAAGTCATTCTCTGGAGAAGAGTGGTAAACAAAACCTCTTTTTTATACCAACTTGCTGTAATATCACAGGGAGACTTTTTCATGCTGATTTATTTCATAAAATAGGGTATCAGATGAATGCGTCATCTTGGCCAATGTTCCTCTTACGAACACTGAATGGATCTGAAATGGCACCTGCGACATTCTTTAAGAAGGTAAGAAAGATGTTATAAAAAGCTTCCATCACCTGGGCTGTAGTTTTGTTGTTTTAATAGGGGCACTTAAATGCTTTGTCTTCTCCGATATGGAAAAAAAAATTCTTTTTAAATTACTGGATTGACACGTGTATTAATCTGCTAGAGCTGCCCTAACAAAGTACCACAGACTGGGTGGCTTAAACAATAGAAATTTATTTTTTCACAATCCTGGGAGCTATAAGTCCAAAATCGAAGTGCCATCAGGATTGGTTTCTAGTGAGGCCTCGTTCCTCGGCTTATAGATGGCCGCCTTTTTGCTCTGTCCTCACATGGCCTCTTCTCTGTGCCTGTGAGGAAGGAGAGGTATCTCTGGTTTCTCTTCCTCTTATAAAGACACTAGTCCTTTTGGGTTAGGACTTGACCCTTATGACCTCACTTAACCTTTATTGCCTCCTTAAAGGCCCTATCTCTGGGCCCCATTGGGGATTAGGGCTTCAATTTATGAATTTGGGAGGACATCATTCAGTTCATTACAGTGACTTAAACAACAGAAATTTATTTTCTTACAGCTCTGGATGCTAGAAGTCCAAGATCAAGGTATCAGCGGGCTTAGTTTCTTTTGAGGCCTCTCTCCTTGACTTGTAAATGGCTGTCTTCTCTTTGTGTCTTCACATGATCTGTGTGTCTGTGTCCTCCTTTCCTCCTCTTATGAGGATACCAGTCATTGGATTAGGGCCCACCCTGATGACCTCATTTTTAACTTAATTACCTGTTTAAAGACCCTGTCTCCAAATGAAATCACATTCTGAGGTACTGGGGTTAGGATTTAAATATGAATATGGCAGGGGTGGGGACACGCCTCAGCCCATAACAGCAAGTCATAAAAAAGTCTCAATTATAATCACCCACTAGTCAAAATGAATTTGTACCCTCTTTCTTCACCCTGGATATGAAAGGAGTGCTCTACTGGAAGCAAATATTCATTGCTATTTTTTATTTACCTTCAGAAGTGAAGCTTCCCCTCACTTTGCTGTATTAGTCATCCTTCGACATTGGAGAAAATGGTGATGGGCCAAAAAACCACTTGAAAGTTACTTAGAGAGATTTGGTTTCAGAAGTAAAAGAATGTTAAAAACAGTCATCAGAAAGCATTTGTTAAAAGGAAATATTTGTTATATAACAAAGAGGGAAAATTCCGAAGATAGTTTATGCTCTTGAGAAAATGTTGAAAGAGTACACTATGTTAAGAAACAGTGAATAAAAGCCAAGTTTTAGTTAAATTATGGGTCAAAATATTTCTTTCTCACCCTCTGTCCTGATTCTTTTTCAGTCACTTAAATTTTATTACAGTTATTCATGTCAAGAATGGTAAATATTGTAGTTTTTTTTTAAAAAAGGGATTCAACAATTCTATACATTTCTCAGTGCTTATCTCAAGGTAAGTGGACTCTTAATCCCCTTTTATCTATTTCACCCCTCTCCCCACTCACCTCCCCTCTGGCAACTGCCAGTTTGTTCTCTCTTTAAGAGTCTGTTTTTTTGTTTGTCTCTTTTTTCTTTGTTTTGTTTTGTTTCTTAAATTCCACATGAGTGAAATCACATGGTATTTGTCTTTCTCTGACTGACTTATTTCACTTAGCATTTTACTCTCTAGGTCCATCCGTGTTGTTGCAAATGGCAAGATCTCTTTCTTTTTCATGGCTAATATTCCATTGTATATATATGTGTGTATATACCATATCTTTATCCATTCATTTATGGGTGGACACTTCGGTTGCTTCCATATTTTGGCTATTGTATACAATACTGCAGTAAACATACGGGTGCATTTGTCTTTTCAAATTAGTGTTTTCATTTTCTTTGGGTAAATACCCAGTAGTGGAATTACTGGATCATAGGGTAATTCTATTTTTAATTTCTTGAGGAACCTCCGTACTGGTTTCCGCAGTGGCTGCACCAGTTTGCATTCTCACCAACAGTGCACCAGGGTTCCTTTTTCTCCTTATCCTCGCCAACATTTGTTATTTCTTGTCTTTTTGACTTTAGCCATTCCGACAGGTGTGAAGTGATATCTCATTGTGGCTTTGATTTGCATTTCCCTGATGATGAGTGATGTTGAGCATCTTTTCATGTGTCTGTTGGCCATCTGGATGTCTTCTTTGGAAAAATGGCTATTCAGGTTCTCTGCCCATTTTTAAATCAGATTATTTGTTTTTTTGGTGTTGAGTTCTCTAAGTTCTTTATATATTTTGAACATTAACCCCTTATCAGATATATCATTTGCAGGTATCTTCTCCCATTCAATAGGTTGCCTTTTTGTTTTGTTGATGGTTTCCTTCACTGTGCAGAAGCATTTTCTTTTGGTGTAGTCCCAGTAGTTTAATTTTGCTTTTACTTCCGTTTCCAGAGGAGGCATATAGAAAAGTAGAAAGATAGAAAAACAGAGACACATAGAAAAATGTTTCTGTGGCCAATGTCTAAGAAATTACTGCCTGTGTTTCCTTCTAGGAATTTTATGGTTTCTGGTCTCACATTTAGGTTTCTTGTTTTTTTAAGATTTTATTTATTTGAGAGACAGAACGAGAGAGAGCACGAGCAGGGTCAGGGACAGAAGGAGAAGCAGACTCCTGCTGAGCAGGGAGCCGGACGTGGGGCTCCATCCCGGGACCCCGGGATCATGACTTGAGCCGAAGGCAGATGCTTAACCGACTGAGCCACCCAGGCGCCCCCACATTTAGGTTCTTAATCCATTTCAAGTTTGTTTTTGTGTAGCAAAGTGGTCCAGTTTTGTTGTTTAGTGTGTAACTGTCCAGTTTTCCCAGCAGCATTTGTTGAAGAGACTGTCTTTTCCCCATTGTTGTGAATCAGTTGACCATAGAAGTGTGGGTTTATTTCTGGACTCTGTTCCATTGATCTGTGTGTCTATTTTTGGCCCGTGCCATACTGTTTTGATTACTACAACTTTGTAGTATATCTTGAAATCTGGGATTGTGATACTTCCAGCTTTGTTCTTCTTTTTCAAGACTGCTTTGGCTAAGGTTTTAAAAGGTTTTAGAGAACCTTAAAGACATAAGGATGTGTAAAACATCAATTAATATGATTCTTGCATTGCAAAGAAAACTTCTTTAGTGCTGCTTTGAGTAGCAAGAGTGCCTGAAAGTGGGTTTGCCCTACCACCTCCCAGCAAGGGACACAGGCCCTTTGGGCAATGTGTAAAACATAGGTGAGAATAGTAACAAAAGAGATGTTTAGTAGTAGTCTTTATTAAACACTATTAGCTTGGGCTGTGGCTTTAGAAAAGACATCGGATTTATTTTACTTATTATCAGATTGCTTTGTTAGCTGGTTACATGCCACATGTCACACGCATTATGTTTTTCATTTTTAAAAATTATGAAAGTAATTCATGTTTGGAGAGGGGATATCAAAATATGCACTTAGCTAGAGTAAAAAATGTGTGTCTTTTTTTCTGTCCCATCCTTTCCTCCTTTCCACCCTCCTCTCCAAATAGAAGTTTTATTTGTGTTCTCCTAGACTTTTTTCTGTGCATTCACAGACATATATGGGCTTTTATTTTTTTAAACATAAATTTGAATATATTGTGAATATTGTTCTGTGATTTATTTTTATCCTTAAAATATGTATATTCTGGAAACCTTTCCATTTTGCTTCATATGTATTTTAGGTCGTGTTGTACTATTCTGTGGTATGGATTACCATAATTGGTTTAATCTGTCCCTAAGGATGGATGTTTAGGTTGTGTCCATATTCTTGTTTAAGTCATCTATAATCTACAGCTTTCTTTATAAGTGTGAAGGCTACATTTTAGAAGTAGAATTTTTGGTTCAAAGGGAATGTGTGCTTTAAGTGTTGATATATACTATTAAATTGCATCCCCAAAGGGTGTTTCAAGCTATGCTCCACTATTATTGTATAGATGTTTCTATTCCTACACTTTCACTGGCATCAAATATCATTGATCTTTAAAAATTTTATATATCTTTTTCTGGGGGAGTTGGGGGTGGGGATGGTATCTCATTGCTGTAATTTGCACTGAACTGATTACCAGTGAAACTGAGCTTTTAAAATGTGTTTAATGGCCTTTTATTTTTCTGTGAACTACCTGATTATAGCCTTTGCTTGTTTTTCTGTTGGATTTCTGTTCTTACTCATTGATTTGTGGGTGCTCTTTCAGCCAAGCTTGAAACTTTGCCAAGAGCCATCTTAAATCACTGTTCCTTCTTGACTGTGGCCTCTGAATATCCATTTAATTAGGAAGGCCCACCCACTTAGCTTCCTAATTATTTTTTCTCATGTCTCTTTCTAACCTTACCACCACTGCCCCTTGTGCAAGCTTTCCTCTTGCCTGAACTGTTCAGCTAGCCTTACAACTGCCTCTAACCTTCATCCTTCCACACAACGGCCAGAAATATTTGATATAGGAGCCTTAACCACATCATTCACTTGCTTAAAACTCTTGAAGTTCCCAGTTGCACTCAGGATGAAGTTTAAGTTTGTTAATATGGCCTTTAAGGTGCTGTGTGATCTGGATTATGGCTGCCACTCTTTGCTTTGTATTTTATGTTCTAAATTGCTTCTGATAGCCTGTCGATACCATGTTCCTTTTTCGAGCTGGTTATCTCTGGTTAACGCTAAGTTTCCAGTTAGGCATTAAATCCTCCAATGTATCTTCCCTGATTCCCCCTTTCTATTCTTATGCTTCTTTAGCACCTTGCGCATATCTCAATCTTTATAGGAATTGGATTATATTATTATTTTCATTGTCTCTTCCTAGACTGTGAGTTCCTTTTGAACAGTTAATGTCTTTGTATTCTCGGTGTCTGTCATAGGTCTTGGTACATACTTGTTTGTTAAATGAAGAAAGGATGGAGAATACAGGAAGATGAATACATATAGAGGGAGAAAATGGGTTTTGTTTTGGACATGCCAAGGTGCCTCACGGAAATTTGAGGAGGGATGACTACTAGCAGACTGTTGGAAGTAAAGTGTTCAGAACT